AGTGTGATATTGAAAGGATATGGGCAAAATTCCTGTGGTCTAGGAGGCGGGTGAGGTGGTTGGAAACAGAGGAGAAAACTGGGAAAGTGCTTCAATGAAGAATAAAGTTTCCATGAAAGACTCAGAATTTTTCCCGTTCTACTATACTACTGAGTGGGCCAAAATACAGAGACTCACCTTAACCCCTTCCTTGATAAAGATGCTTACTTCAGGTTGTTTTTTTAAAGAAAATTTAATTTGATAATGAATATAAAAAATGCCCTAGGGTTTTCATTACAGGCAATTAATTGTTGCATCACTTCTGTTCTGTAAATAGTGGAATACCTAGTCTTCCTCTTGGTGCTTTTGAAACTCTTTGGGGTCTATATGAAGCCTGGGGTAAGCCCAGAGTCCTTACCAAGGCTTCCAAGACCAGCGTCTACTATCTCTTCCTTCCTCTTTAGCCTTAGCCCTTGACAGTCTCCATGCGGCATCACTATTCCATAGTCTCTCAGCCCTTGGTATTTTGTTACAAGCTTCTACTCTGCCTGGAATGTCCTTCCCCTGCCCAATTTACTTAACTCTCATCCTTTAAGGCTAAACCCTGCCATCATCTTTCTTCCCAAAGCCTTCTCTGTACCCCAGACTGGCTTATATGAATGACCCTCTTCTGTGCTCCCTTATCCCCCTGTACATATAGGTACTGACTATACTATATAAAAAAGCACTTCCTTTCTCCCTATCTTCCCATTAGACTTGAAATTGCTTAAGATATGTTGCTATCCTCAGGGCCTAGTATAGTGCCGGTCATAGGATAGGCACTCGGTAAAGGATTGTTAAATTGATGTTTGGATGGACATATAAACCAGCTTTTAGACCTTTGTTAGTATGCCTATTCATTTCATAAACATTTGATAGGCATTAAAGGATGACTAATGTTAAGCACTGTGATCAGAGCTGTAAAGGATACAGAGATGAACACTACATGGACTGAGATGGGAGTTTATTGCAAGAGCAGACAGATTACATGCCCGCAAATAATAATAATCTGAAGTGCAAAGTGCCCAATGCCATAAAGGAGATATAAATAAAGGACTATAGTGGCTTAGAAAAAGGAGCAAGTACTAAATTGAGGAAGAAGTGTTCATAGAGAAAGTGGCATTTGAGGTAGGATGGGTGCAAGTAGGACATGAATGAGCAAAGAGCCTCCAGTGTATCATGTGATTTATTCTGTCTGAAAAGAGTAGATCTTATGAAGGAATAATGAGCAGTGGGGAACAACTAGGAATGTAGGAAGTGGCCATATTGGAGAGGACCTTAAATGCCAGGCTGATGAGTTTGTATTTGATTCTTATCAGTTGGAGCGATCTCAGAAGCCCATGGAAGTTTTTGACATGGGTGGAGAGATCCTTTGAGAGTCTGATAATGGTGTATTTTAGTATTTTCTTAGTAAATCATTAACTAATTAATTGCTAAGCTTATAATTACTTTTACTATAAACAATGTGGAAAAACTCCAAGGTCTGTGGCTCCTTGACCTTTTTACACTAGTCTTTTCTCACTGGAAATCTAGATGAGGTAAAAAAAAAATCATATGACCCATTAGTTCTGAGAAATGAAAATTGAAATTGACAGAGGAAAGAAAAACTAGCAAGACATAAATGGCTCATAAAAATGCATAGACATATAAAGTGTTTGCTTAGGAACCATGACCAAAATGTTGCCTTCAGCTGTCTGGAAAAATCCGGACACAGTATATGAATTATATTGTTAACATTTATTCCTTTGGGGTAGTTTAGATCACTTCCAGTTAAAAATAACTATACTGTTCTAACCTCAGACTGTCTACTCTTACTCTCCCCTTTAAACAATGGGTACCGCATTGTCAGTTTGTTTTATAGTATGTTATATAACCAGAGCATCTGGTTTCTTGCTGCCTTTAGGCCAGGCCTTCACCATTTCATGCCTGGATTTTTACAACTTTTTCATTATTCTCTCTGTCTCCAGTGCCTCAAATCTAGCTATATGACCTTGGGCAAGTCATGTAACCTCTCTGATATTCTGTTCTCTTAACTCTAAAATGGAAGTAATGATTCTTGCCCTGCCTATCTCAAGGAGCTGTCTTGAGGATCATGTGAAAGCACTTGAAAACTGTCAGTGGCTTTACTAAGACTTGGACTCTACAGATTGGTTTTATACCCTGTACAATCTAGTCCCAAGCCACCTCTCTAATCTCATTTCTCAACATTCTCTAGGATCTACTCCTCCTCCTAGACACACACAAACTTATGGTGTTCTCCTCATCTGTAATATTCTCCCTCTTATCTCTGCTCATCCAAATCTAAACAATAATTTAAGGGCCAGTTCAAATTCTACATCCTCTTTGAAATCTTCTCTGATGACTCCGATGCTCATCGGTTTCCACCTTTGCTGAATTTTGACAGCATTTAGTTATTATCAGTGTTTGCTTATTTGTTGCTTTTTACTATGAGCTCTTTATTCACCCAAGGCTCATTTCTTTACCCATGTTATGATTTTACGATGCTTTAGTTTGTTCATTTAACATTTAGTGAATGTTTGAGGATGTTTCCTCTATTCCTCATAGGACCAAGTGTAGAACTTAGAAATAATAGTTGGCTCATTTATTTAGACATTTATATACACACTCTCTTAAGAGAGAGACAAGAGAACCCATCTTCTCTTCCTAGTGCTTGGAGTACCCCTCCTAACAATTTCTACCTCCTACAGAACCATAGGAAGGCCTTTAAGATGGGACTGTCAATAGAAGTTTCTGTGATTATAGATCTCTTTTATAGCTGTGCTATCTAATATACTAGTAGTAGTCATTAGCCACATATGGCGATTCAGTACTTGAAATGTGGCTAGTGCAATTGAGTAACTGAATTTTTATTTAATTTTAATATAAATAGCTGCCTGTGGCTAGTGACTACTGCATTGGACAGTGTGGGTCTAGATCAGTGGCTTTCCAACTTTTTTGATCTAACAATATAATGAGAAATACATTTTATATTGCAACCCAGTTTATACATACACAAATTTCATGAAATAATACTCATACTATTATGTATTAAATATACTATTATATTTTCTGTTCTATTTAATTTCATTTAAAAATTCTGTTTGCAAACCATTATAGATTTCATAGACCATTGATGAATTATGGTTTTCTCATTGAAAAACACACTGCACATTTTATAGGTGGAGAATCTGAGGCCCAAAGAAGTACAGTAGGTTCTGCAAGGTCACATAGTTTTAGAATGGAACTAAAAATTAGGGTTCATAGGCTAGAGATATTTCTAAGAGGGGTGAAGAGTGATTCTTCCTTCTGTTAGCCATGCCCCCAAATTTTATTTTGATGTTGGACAAAAATCATTTGACACACTCTTTATTTTGACTAAATACTATCATAGTGTCTTGCTTCCTGCATGAATCATGAGCTCTGTATTTGAGTATTGGTGCATTTGGGTTTGAAAAATGCCCCAAATCAAAGTTACAATGTAATGGAGGCTTACTTTGGACCCACTACATGACTTGGCAGGGACACTAATATGAAACTACCTCCTGGGGAATAAAACCAGGCTTTCCACTAGCAGGTTGATCCTTAAGGACAACAAAACCTATTGATTAAGAATCAAGGTGATTCTCATCTCAGTTTGTACAATAGTTGCCTTGAGTCTTGAATTGTAAAACCAAGCAAGTAATTTTTTCTCCGTTTGCCCATTCAATATGGTACCTTATTTGTATGCCTTATCAACAAAGAGAACCTTTACAGAAGTGGTATCTTTTAATTCTTCTGAAAAATGCATTACTCCAAAAAGAGCAGTTACCCTATCAAAAGAAAAAGAGGCAGCAATTTAGAATACAGTGGTCTTCATGTTAGGTGCATTCCTGACCAGTTTGTGAATGGAATCCCTTTTCCTTATGGATATATCCAAATGCATTTAAGTCAGCAGATAGGAGGCAATAACTTGTCCTTAAATGAAAATAACAAAAATATACGCTAAGATCTGGAAACAACCAAAGTACCCATCAGTAGATGGATGGATTAAAAAACTCTGTGGTACATTTACACAATGGAATAATATGCAGCTGTAAAAAAGAAGGATCTATTATACTTTGAGACTGCATGGAGGGACCTGGAGATTATTATGCTAAGTGAAATAAGCCAATCATACAAAGACAAATGTCGTATGATCTCACTTATATGTGGAATCTAATGAACATAATAAACTGATTAATAAAATAGAACCAGAGGCATAGAAACAGGAACAGACTGATGAATTTCAGAGGGAAGGGGAGAGGGGGGTGGGAAGAGATTAACCAAAGAACTTATATGCATATATTTAATGCCCATGAACTCAGACAATAGGGTGGTGAAGGCCTGGGGTGGAGCGGGAACCGGTGTGTTGGGGATCAAAGGGGAAAAAAGACATCTGTAATACTCTCAACAATAAGTATTTTTTTAAAGGCAATAAACTTTTCAAAAGCATCATTTTAAGGGAAAATTTAAAAAGTCCAATTTTGTATTACATTTGATTCTTACCACCATGGTCAGTAGCATGAATTGACTGAAGTCTCTAAGAAATGTATTTTGTGGTGTCAAGTTGAAAACCAAAGGGCCTTATCACTTAATAATTGTTGCTTGACAAAAGGACTGGTTATCCCTTTGCTGACTTGCCCGGCAATTTGTCAGGTGCATGCAGCCTCCTGTGCTCCACCACCACCAGTACTAGACAGTTAAATAGAATCTCATAAAGTCTAGTTGAAAGCTAACCCTTTGGTTAAGATTTTCAGGTAAGTCAGAAAATGATAATGTTCTCTTAGGATATCAGAGTATATACTGGTCTACAGAGAAATCATTCATGTATTTTGCATTATATGACAACTTGGCATTGTTAAAGTGTGACTTGCTAAATACATTCAAGAAAATGTGCAGTTTTGAACATGATAATCCTCCTTGGAAAGCTAAGAATTGTTGTCCCATCTCTCTATTTTAAGTTCTTAATTTTCAGAAAAGCATGGCACTGGTAGGAAGAGACATGAAGATGGACAGGGCCTGTGCGTAGGCAAGCAGAGGCTGGGAAGACCAGGACACTAAGTGGACCCAGGAGTAATGGGGTGAAGTCACATTTTAGGCTGAACTTTGTTCTTCTGGATTCCTCTTGCCTTTTTAGCTTCTGCTAATCAACCTACCATCTGCTATGCCCCTCTTCACAATCCCTGTGCTGGTTGACTTCTTCACATTTTTTTAAACCTCTCCTTCCTTTGTTGACCATGTCCAGGAGTCCAACATGTTCTGGGTAGACCTAGTTTATTATCTCCCTACCCCACACTATATTTTTCTGCTACCATCTCATCACCCACACTTGAAATCTTCAAGTCATTTTTGACTCTCATTCTCCTTGGCCCCACCCCACACTCAGTTGCTTGCCAAATCTTTTTGGTGTTTTCTCAACCAGGAATTTCCTCCCTTCCCCCTTCCCACCTTTGACTTATTTTCATTAAGGCTCAGCTCTGATGTCACCTTTTCTAGGTTATAGAACAAATGATTCATCCCCAGTTGGAATGAATCATTTGTTGCCTTCTACTAGTATATCTCTTAAAAAAATATTACTTATGTTACCGTATACAAGGGGCTTGTCTCTTGGTGATCATAACCTAATGAATCAAGACCAAGACAGAATATGAGTAAGGAAAGTTTATTTGCAGCAAGTAAGGAGAGCACTGGGGATGATTCCCAGAGCTGTGGCTCCAAATACACAAGGGTAATTGCTTTTATTGGGACTAGTTATGCTATATTCATTAAAAAGAGACAGGTCATTATATGCAGAGGCTAGGTCATTCTAACATAGGTGCAATAAGGGAGCATGCTTTATCTTTTATCACATGTATAGAAAATGGTAGGTAAGTTCTGCTTGGGGAGGGGAATTTAGTATTATGATTAAGCAGGATCAGTATTCCTTTTAGGCATCCTTATCTGGTTTCAATAGGAAAAGGGTGTTATTGTTTTGTGGTCAGTCAGGGAACATCCTTTTCCTGCAAGACAGCTCAGCAAAGATTGTTAGTTTCACAATTGAGCAACCCTTTTAACCCCATTCTGCTTACATTTATTTGTTTATTAGAGAAGAATGAAAAATACAAACTATAGTGACCTTCTTGCTGGCGTGAGAGGGGCTGAAGATTAAGAGAAAAATTCTTTGACTACCATTTTGGTCAGAGACATCTCAAAGGAAGCAGCACAGTTCTCACAGGCTTTAAGGGGTAGTATTAATTTGACAAGATGGCTGGGTAGTGACTCATTGAGACAGGGTTGGTGATAGAGAAATACTTTTATTTTTTCAGCCAGTACTAAAAAAAGACCCAAGGCTTATATGCATAAATGTTGTACATTCATCCAATGCCACCCTTCCTCACCCCAACCAGGGGAATGCCAGAGAGGCTGCATCTTTCTCACACTCCTCTCAAGCTACTTCTTTTCTGATTTTCTTTCTCTTTCTAAGCTATACTGCGCATTCATTTTAACCTGATTTCCCCTGCCTGTGAAGGGTAGAGAGTAGGGTGGGAAGGTACATAGTGTGATTTTATGCCACCTCAGTCCACCACCTCCTGGGGATGGTCTGACCTGGGTGATCATTTTTAGCCTGGTATTTCTTGGATATGGCCCAGGGGCTAAGGCCAGTGACAGAAAGGCTAAGATAGCACTGGCTCTCTGGCAGATTCAGCAGTGATGAGTTTACACTGGTGAACAAAATGGTTTTCTCATTTCTAACTTCTTCAGGTTTGAAATTCTGCCAAGACTATACCCTTAATAATTAAAACATCTTGAGGAGAAAGGCTGCTTAAATCCCTGAAAAATTGGATTTCTGTAATATGTTTCAAGAAAGGCAGTATCCCTGGGTAGATGTGTTTCTAAAGTTGTAATTTCAGATTATAGCTTCAACTTGTACAAATTATGCAAAATGTAACTTCAACATCCAACTAAGTGTTTTGAGCAGGTGAACCTGTTTTCATGACCAGATATGACTCATTTATTTTTGGGAACATTTATTTCTATGAAAGCAGTATGCTCCTGCCTTAGAAAACAAAGCCAAACAAAACAATTTGTTCTTTCAAGTGAGTTAAACATATCCAACAATGCCATTTTTACAGGAACCCATTCACATGAGGCTTTTAGGGACTGCTTTGGGAGAGACCCTACAGCTACTTGTAGCTACACAGAAGGACCCCTACCTTCTCTGAGCTCCTCTTTATTAGGGGATGGGGAGACTCCAAGAATTGAGAGGAGAAGGTATGTGCTGGGTGTCTTAGCATTGAAGTTGATGTATTGTTCTCATAGAAATAACCGTACACTATAAAATATACTATCAATTTGGTTTTTCTGGTTATAGTTTAAAATAGGTTTTTTTGGGGGCTGGCTTGGAAACCTATTTACTGTCTGCAATATTATTTCCCTCAGAAAATTTACTTAAAGAGAACTTTTAAAATTCTTTATTGTTTAAATTATTACATATAGTATTACATATGTCTCCTTCCCCCCCCCCCCCCACTGACCTCTCCCCGGCCACCCCACCCCCCAGCACATGCCTTCATCCCCCTAGTGTCTGCGTCCATTGGTTATGCTTATATGCATGCATACAAGTCCTTTGGTTGATCTCTTACCGCCCCCCCCCCGCCCCCGCTGCCTTTCCTCTGAGGTTTGACCGTCTGTTTGACATGTCTCTGTCTATGGATCTATTTTTGTTCATCAGTTTATGTTGTTCATTATATTCCACAAATAAGTGAGATCATGTGATATTTATCTTTCTCTGACTGGCTTATTTCACTTAGCATAATGTTCTCCATGTCCATCCATGCTGTTGTAAATGATAAGAGTTCTTTTTTTTATAGCAGCATAGTATTCCATTGTGTAGATGTACGGCCATTTTTTAATCCACTCAGCTGCTGATGAGCACTTAGGCTGTTTCCAAATCTTAGCTATTGTAAATTGTGCTGCTATGAACATAGGGGTGCATTTGTCCTTTCTGATCGGTGTTTCTGGTTTCTTGTGATATATTCCTAGAAGTAGGATTACTGGGTCAAATGGGAATTTCATTTTTAATTTTTTGAGGAAACTCCATACTGTTTTCCACAGTGGCTGCACCAGTCTGCATTCCCACCAGCAGTGCACAAGGGTTCCTTTTTCTCCACAACCTCACCAGCACTTGTTGTTTGTTGATGATAGCCATTCTGACAGGTGTGAGAAGGTACCTCATTGTCATTTTGATTTGCATCTCTCAGATAATTAGTGACTTTGAGCATGTTTTCATATGTCTTCTGTATGTCCACTTTCAAAAAGTGTCTATTTAAGTCCTTTGCCATTTTTTTATTGGATTATTTATCTTCCTTTTGTTAAAATGTATGAGTTCCCTATAAATTTTGGAGATTAGGCACTTATCGGATATAACATTGGCAAATATGTTCTCCCATGCAGTGGGCTTTCTTGTTTTGTTGATAATTTTCTTTTGCTGTGCAGAAGCTTTTTATTTTGATGAAGTCCCATTTGTTTATTTTCTCCTTAGTTTCCATTGCTGTCGGAGCTGTATTGGTAAAGATATTGCTACGACATGTGTCTGCTATTTTGGTGCCTATGGCTTCTTCTAAGATTTTTATGGTTTCCCATCTTATGTTTAAGTCCTTTATCCATTTTGTTTCTCTTTCTGTGAGTTCATTATCTATATATAAAAGGCCAGCGACCTGAATGGCGGAATGACCAGAATGACCAGAACGACCGTTGGCTGTGACATATACTGTGGCAGCCAACCAGCCTGATCTGGGCCCTGATTGGCCACCCTCCCGGCTGGCCTGGCCCCTGATCAGCCCCCAACATCCCAATCGGGGGCAGGGGCAGCTGGCCAACTGCTGGTGGCCCCTCTCCCCTGCCAGCTCAGACCTATAGACCCCCATCAGGGCGGGCCAGCCGGACCATACCCATGCATGAATTTGTGCACCAGGCCTGTAGTTGGTGTATAAAAAGGCCATAGATTTCTGGGTGTTAATTTTGTATCCTACTACATTGTTGAATTCATTTATTAAATCTAATAGTTTTTTTATGGAGTCTTTAGGGTTTTCTGTGTCCAATATCATGCCATCTGCAAATAATGACAGTTTTACTTCTTCTTTTCCAATTTGTATGCCTTTTATTTCTTCTTCTTGTCTGATTGCTATGGCTAGCACTTCCAGTACTATGTCGAACAGGAGTGGTGAGAGTGGGCATCCCTGTCTTGTTCCTGTTCCTAGGGGAAATGGTTTTAGTTTTTGCCCATTGAGTATGATGCTGGCTGTAGGTTTGTCATATAAGGCTTTTATTATGTTGAGGTATGATCCCTCTCTTCCCACTTTGCTGAGAGTTTTTTAAAGAGAACTTTTGAGATAAAACCCCTTTGTAGTTCAGTCTTGACTCTTTTGGCAGACACCAATGGTACAAAAGTGAATTTTAACTACTCCTACATTACATGCTCATAAATTCTGAGATTCTGGCCTATGATCTTACAAGGTTTAATTATATTTTATTCTGTTACTTTATTTTGAGAGAGAACCATAGTCATTTGTGAATCCCAAGAACAAGTTATACAGAGTAGGGCAAAAGTAGGTTTACAGTTGTTCATATTATTTTGTAAAATAATACAGAAATTAATAAATAATAATGCAAGAATAAACTCTATGTTTTGCATACTCACAACTGTAAACTTATTTTTGCCTCACCCTGTATTTATCATCAGCTGCGAGATCCTACTTTGCAGAAGTCATATGTGAATAAAATAACAAATCAAAGTACCATTAAAACATTCAGTCTTCCAGCTAAAATATTACATTTTCATAGTTGTATAAACTTTCAGACTTGTCATAGCCCCTTCCAAGTCATTGGCCACTAGAAACCTTACAATATTCCCTGTGATGTGGGTAGGAGTTAGGTATTAAGGTATTATTGTATTATCCTGCTAAACTAATTTTAGGAGAAGCTAGATAAGTGACTGTTTACTAAGAAGGCCCCATGAAAGAAAAGGTTTTGAGTTAACTGTAGCCAAATAATTATTAAGATGGGGTGCCAAATAGAGCCTTAAAGGGGAAGGTCAAAAAAGGTGGTCAAGAGGAAATCCCTTAACTAAAAGATTTTGTGGCCTGTGAGTGTCTCTTTTCCTCAAAGAAAAGGATTTGCTTCTATTACTTTGGAGCCCAACTCATGACCTTTCACCTTTAGGATAAAGGTAATAATCAGTAGACCACGGAAGCAAGCCCCCTTTGTTAAATTTTGCCTGAGTTTCTTCCCTTTAATTTCAGTTTTATCCAAGTATGAAAACCAAATTACTATTTTTGCTGACTACCTAGAAGAATTTCCAGATACAGATGACCTGGTATGGATCTTGGGGAAACAGCACCTCCTTAAAACAGGTAAGGTTTGGTAGCATTTGTCTGTGAGAACCCAAATAAAGTGGGTGCTTGAGGTCAAGGTCCTATACAGTTTTCCTCCTTGGGTTGGCAGAACATGACCTTGATAACTGTTAATCCTACTCTCTAGCTGATTTACCGGGCAGCCAAAGAAGTTTAAGCCTCAGGCCCTTCCCTTGCAGAGGCCCCTTCCAAGACCTTAAGAGGCCCTTGCAGCATGTTTATATGGTCGTAAGTGTTTGTACAATTTGAAAAGGTCATATATTCGTATTCTTTCCCCTAAAGCAGAATCCCTGAATTCTATAAGACTCAGGTTTCAAAAAGCATGGACCCACTCCTGGTATCAGTAACCAGTATCTAGTCTTTGATGACTGGGCTGCATACTTTTCATTCCTCACATGTCCTTTTCTGTCTAGGTTAAAGCACTTGGGACTTCTAAACAGCCCATGGCTGTCAGAAACAATATCAGACACTGAGAAGTCTTGTAGTTTGAGATATTTTGCTGATTATAGCTCTGTTTTACTTTATTCTGATTGTGTATAGAACATACAGCTAGATAGATGGAAAGGAAGCTTGAATTTGTCTTTTTGTTGTTGTTGTTAACCCTCAGCCGAGGATATTTTTTCTATTGCGTTTGAGGGAGGGAGGAAGGGAGGGAGGGAGGGAGGGAGAGAGAGAGAGAGAGAGAGAGAGAGAGAGAGAGAGAGAGAGAGAGAGAGAGAGAGAGACAGACATTGATATAAGGGAGACACATTGATTGGACACTTTGATTGGTTGCCTCCTGCACAGGAACCGACTGTGGCCAGGGATTGAACCTATAACCCAGGTATGTGCCCTTGACTTGGAATCACACCCAAAACCCTCCAGTGCACAGGCCAATCCTCTAACTACTGAGATACACTGGCTAGGGCTGAATTTGTCTTTCTTACTCTTACATTCTCATAGATTGGGAAAGATCTTTAAACCTAAAACTGCTAATGGCCCTGTACAGAGAAAATTCCTGAGCTTGGAGTGAGGCAGCTCTGATTTTGTATCTGTCTGAGGAGAGGCCCCAGCATCGAGGGAGTAACAGGAAGAAGCTCATCAAAAAGCAGGAAAGGAAGTTAGGCATTTTGTAGCTCCTCCTGAGTCTGGCTTCATAATTTTGATAGGACAAGACTGAACAGTGGAAAACAACCAGGGCTAGCCATTAGGAGAATTTTTCTATTCAGACTCTTCTACTACCTTAGATAAGTCATTTTCCCTTTTGGAGCTTAACTCCCTTCACTAGCACATAAAATGAGGGGACTGGAGCTCATCTCTTCTAGTTCTGCATTCCTTGACAACAGAAATCACTAGGTTGTCAAATATACCCATATTCAAATGTTAAATTGCAAAATGCCTTTCAAAGTGAAATTGTTAAAATGTCCATACAACTTCCCCAGACTTCCTAGCATATAGGGAAGGTGAGAGGTATAGAAAATATCAGAGGAAGGAAGGAGTGACTGGTCTTTACATTTTGAGAGGAGGCATATATAATAGCAGCTAACATTTATGCAGGCTTACTACATACTTTAGCATCTAAGCACTTTCATGTATTATCTTGTGGAATGCTCACAACTCTATGAAGTAGGTGCTCTCCCCATCTTATGGATGATGAGAATGAGTCTCAGTGACAGGGCTACACAGTCGGTAAGTAGAATAGTCAGGGTTCAAACCCAGGGAGAGTTTGACTCCAGGAATTTTACTCTTAACCATTATACATCTGCTTCCCCAAATGTGCCAGACACTGTGGACATGAAGGGGAAGGAAAATCCAGACAGTAATTTTCTGATTAGTTAAAAGGAAAGGCAAGGGAGAAAATAGAAACTATAGACTGATACTGAATTTCCTTTTTTTCTCTCTTAAAATGCAATGGATATAAGTACTATACTATACAGAATACAAACATGAGGATATGTTGTTGAAAAGGGGAGAGAGAAGACTAAGAAAGATAGAACCACATCTAAATATTGATGGGAACATGGAAGCCATATTTGTGGCCATCGAAATAAATTTGTCATAAAATACAAAAAAGCATACTTTCAAAATAGACACAAAAACATTTATGATGTTATACATCTATTTAGATTACAAATACTAGTTGCACTAGGTGGTATTAATACATTGCTTACATAACTAATTTGCTTAACAGAGCACTTTCATTTTAGTTAAACATGTCCACATGTGTACACCCCACCACACACACACACCCATACCCAGTTTTAGATAACAGAAAGTGAGTACTGATGACAGATTCAGTCAAATGTCACCAATTAGGCAGGGCTGATTGCCTTGTTAGTTGGTTACCTAGGATCCTTGCTTTTCCTATTCTTTGTCTTATGGCCATGACCCCAGTGTTAGTACCTGCCAAGACCATGGAGCTCAGTGGAAAAGAGACAGGAGCCACCCAGCAGCATTGTACTAGCCAGTGGCTCTTGTCAAAACATAGGTAGGGGGAAATGTTGAAATTATTTGGTTAAAATAAGATTGGATTTCTTATGAATTTCCCTAGCCCCATAATAATGAAATTATCTGGTTATTTGAAAATTAGTTTGCCGCTGGATTGGAAATCAAAAGCAGATATCTTTAGATGGGATGTGGTGATTTAATTTGAATTTCACATTTAATTACAGAAAAATCTAAGCTGTTGTCTGATATAAGTGCTCGTCTATGGTTTACATACAGAAGGAAATTTTCACCAATTGGTAGGTATATGATTTGTTATACTGTGCTTTCTTCCTTGTACATAGCTTGCCTGAAGTTTTCAGCGAGTTCACAGAAATCTCCAAATTAGAAGCTCACTATGATTAAGAATTTGATTTAGGGGAGTATTTAAGTCTTACATTTCATGGCAAAAGTTTTATTGCCAAGGAACCTCATCATGTATGGCTCCATACTGTTAATGTGTAATACCAAGATACTTTTGAGCCCACCTCCAAGTGTTCAGGCTCTGGATTGTATTATTTATTTTACTTCTGAGAGTAAGGAAAAAGTCAGACTTTTCATTTGGGCAATATTTGTTAAATTATAATCTACTGCTTTGTGTAGATTATAATTTAATCAAGTAGGTACTTGATTATTAAAGACAATTGTACCTGAAGAAAAGAAAGTAATTCTTTTGATTGTTTTCCCCTATGAAATGAGAACACCTTACCACTGGGAGATAAATGAAGATAGATTTCCTTGGACCAAATTCTAGGTTTAGAGTACCAGCTACTGTTTAGGAAAAAAAAAAAAAAAAAGGACAATTCAATAAGCTAAGTGAACAGGCTCCCTCTAGAGAAAATTTCTAAAATGTTTGCAAGTAGGGTGACCTATTTCTGGTATCATGGCCTTGTGGGAAAAGATTACCAAACCCAATGGTGGAAGCTATTCTCCTAACAGGAAACCTGTCTGACCAATTTTGATACAGGACTGGACCTATTAATTGGCTTCAGATCAAGTTTTCTGATAAAGTGCCAAAAATGAAGTCCACACAGACATTTTTTTTCCCTCTGCAGGAAGTACCTGAGCAGTAAAACAAACAAAATAGCTATTTTCAGTACCCAGTGATTCTAAACTGTTAACTGTCTCCAGTGAAGAGGTCTTTGCAAAGCTTGAAGACATTTGCAATTCAACTCTGACAATGTTTTGGCATTCGATGCTCTCTTCTTTATGTGAGCTTCACTGAATCTTTTCCATACTAATCTGGCCGGTAATCCCAATATGAGCAAGAGCCAAGGGCTCCTCTTCCAGCTCTCAAGTTGGCTCAACCCTTCTCTTGTTACTGTAGCAACGCTCCTTCAATCCCCACAACAAAAGGAAAGGGGCAGCCACCTTGGCTCACTTGTCTTATAAGGTTGATGGCCCCCTTTAACGTTACTTTTGTGAGATCATGCTCATAGTATACTTGTTCACTTCCATATTGGGATATGAAAGCAATAAAAGCAGAATGTCTCCTCTGCCATCCAAGTTATCTGATTTCATTGGTACCATGAAAAAGGATAGTAAGCTCATCCTGACCACATTTGTGGGATTTTTGTTACATCAAGTGTTCTTAAAATGGAACTCTTTGTCTTATTTCATTTATTAGCTGGTTTTGTGCCTTTTAAAGATATAGTACATTTCTAATTTATTAATAGTATTCTTTTAATATATATTATATATAATGTATTATATATATAATATATTTATTGTCCAAACATAGATAGGGGGAAATGTTGAAATTATTTGGTTAAAATGAGATTGGGTTTCTTATGAATTTCAGAGAGAGGAAGGAAGAGGGAAAGAGAGATAGAAGCTGCCTCTTGCACGCCCTACACTAGCGGGTGGAGCCTGCAACCTGGGCATGTGCCCTGATCAGGAATTGAACCATGACCTCCTGGTCATAGGTAGATGTTCAACCACTGAACAACACTGGCTGGGCTATTAATAGTATTCTTAATTATGACCTTACTCATAACACCAAATATTTCCATTATCCTGAGTGGGTTGTAGAACACTTTCCCAGATACTCTCTCACTTGATTCTTATAATCCCCTCTGATAGTAGCCAGGGTATATGCTATTATCCCCAGTCTATAGATGAGATTTAGATTTAGGTATTTAGAGGCTAGTCTTCTGATGCCCAATTTAAGATTCTTTCCTCTATTTTACATTGCCCTTCTTGCTGTTCAGATCTTTATAATGTACATTTAGAACAGTCAAAAGTCTTCCAGATATCTTTGACCATTTTGATGATTGCCTTTTGTAGCATTTATTTCTTAAGTAAGGTAAGATGGGTTTCCCTGAAAGGTGAGCTGTGCAAAGCCAGGTTTGGTCAAACAGGTAATTATATGGCATAGACTAAGTGTTGGTAGTCATACATTGCACTCGTCTACCAAAATTGCATGCATACCTAGAAGTCTCCAAGCAGGTTCTGTTCATTTGTTTATTTTGTTTTTGGCCATAGAACCCATTTTGGTTAACTCAGCATTAACTTTGCAAGTTCCACCCTGTAACAAACCCTGTTTGATATCTGGCTATATCTCTTACCTCTTTTCAGAGTGTGTGTGTGTGTGTGTGTGTGTGTGTGTGTGTGTGTGTGTGTGTGTCTGTGTGTGTATCTTGTATGATTCCCAGACATGCTGATTGTTTGGGGAAAGGGCAATTTCAGGAACTCATATTTATTGCCATCCATTTTGCCAACAGGAGGAACGGGCCCTTCATCAGATGCTGGCTGGGGATGTATGCTACGCTGTGGACAGATGATGCTGGCTCAAGCCCTTATCTGCAGACACTTGGGAAGGGGTGAGTTAAATTTGTTCTCTAAACTGCCTTAGAGACCTCTTCAGTAGGGCTTACTGCTGGTGGTTTCATATTTGTAGTGAACTTGAGGAGTACTCACTAACCGAGCTACAGGTCCTAAAAGTGCTCCATGTAAGCTCAAGTGGTGTGGTTGACAAGTTGACAAAGTCTCCCATGAGAAGGAAAGAGGTGAGATTTCCTTGTGAATCACCAAGCCAGAGGGACAGAATTGAATCTTGAGGCAGGTGTGTCATTTAGTTTCCATCTTCGTCATTGTGTGACTGAGTCCTTAAACGGGTCACATAACAAAGGGAGCAGGAGGAAGGGTGTGGTGGTAGGTCTGTTTCTTGACCTCATTTAAAATATCTGCCTGGCAAAGGATGTAAATGACATAAAGGAAATGCCTAATGAGGGAGCTGGTGCTATTTTGGTTTTGGTTCACTGAAGATATCCATTTGATGATTAAGGGATCCTTAAATTATCTTCCTCAAAAAACTACTTTATTAAAATCATTTCAATAATCATTGTTGGAACTCTTGAGTCTTCCTTTCTTTTTTAAAAAATCTATCTTTATTGATTTCAGAGAGGAAGGGAGAGGGAGAGAGAGATAGAAATATCAATGATGAGAGAGAATCATTGATCGGCTACCTCCTTCACGCCCCCACACTGGGGATCGAGCCCGCAACCCAGGCAAATGCCCTGACCAGAAATCAAACCATGACCTCTGGTTCATAGGCCAATGCTCAACCACTGAGCAACGCTGGCTGGGCAATTCTTGCTTTCTTAAGATGTGTGCTTCCCTGTGAGCATCTGTAGGGTGACCCTGACTGGATGCCAGTTTTGGCAATTGAGTGAAAGTCCAGTTCAACTTGAGGATGAAGGAGTGAAAGGATACCTTAACTGAGATTTTCTGCTGAAATCATTGAGATTCAAAGAATGGAAACATTATTATTCCTTTTCTCCATTGTGCAACCTCACACACCCTGCTGCCATTATCACAAATGATTGTGGAAGGATCTGGGGAGATTTGAGGGCCTGATTCCTTCTTTTTGGGGTTTGTGATATCTTGTGCCTGCTTTCTGTTTATCAGATGAAGAAACTGAGGTTCAGGAAGTAAGGTGACTTTCCCAGGGTCAAACAGCTAGAAAACATAGATTTGGGAATATAATGTAGGACTTCTGACTCCTTGTTCAGAGATGTCTCTATGGTACACTTCTTGGAGAAGATTCATTCTTACTATTTAACTTTTTCTCATTTATAATATGTTTTTATTGATTTCAGAGAGAGGAAGGGAGAGAAGAGAGAGAGATAGAAACATCAATGATGAGAGAGAATCATGGATCAGCTGCCTCCTGCATGCCCCACTCTGGGGATTGAGCCCACAACCTAGGCATATGCCCTGACCAGGAATTGAACTGTGACTTCCTGGTTCATAGGTTGATGCTCAACCACTGAGCTTACTGGCTGGATGACTTTTTTCATTTATAAATGAGAATATGTTTCTTCTGGGGGGTGGGGAATAAGAGATCAACCAAAGAGCATGTATGCATATAAGCATAACCAATGGACATAGACAATGTGGGGGTGAAGGTCGGGACTGAGGGGTAGGTGCAGGCTGAGAGAGGACAATGGGGGGAACAAGGGACATATGTAATACTTTCAACAATAAAGAATTTTAAAAAAGATGTTTCTTCTGCAAGTGAATTTTGTGAAAAGCAAACTGGGGAAAAAATCCCAGTAAGCAGTCTCAATTATTTTAATGTAAAAGCAAATAGCAGGAAGGATTTGGGAATAGATCTTATAGCAAAGATGAATTAGAAGATGTAATTTTGTGAAGAAGTGTTCTGTTGTGTTTCCTATTTAGTTATTGAGGTGGATTCACTTATCACCGTCATCAGAAACTATTTAGTGGTACTTACTAGTAGCAGCCAGCTAATCAGGATTTCCTCAGACTTGGACAATTTGTTAGCCGATGAAAAACAGTTGGATACAGATAACCCTCTGAAGTCTGTGTTGAATATGAAGTTTAAAACTTTGGTTTCAGAAATACTCAAAGCAAAGAGAATGGAAGACTCTGGAGATAATGGCCTTTGGCTTCAAGTAAAATTAAGTTGTGAATTCAAACCCTTTCTAAAACCTCAGGAGGTAAATTTATGCCTTGGAAGCAAAGCAAGCCTCAGAATTCTGTCCCATTAGACAGAGTTCCTGGAGTGGAGGGATGGGAGCAGTGCATCCTGTCCACAGCAGTGGTTATTGCAAGTTTTTGCAGTTGTCGTCAGTAGCATTGGAGGGTTGTGCCTAAGTCATGGATGGGATCCTTACAGATGTGATTATTTTGGTTTTGGTCATAAGGAAACCTTGAATACTGATAGAAAAGGTATTTGGTTTTGCAAAGCTCAGTGTGGACTTTTTAAATGTGTAAAATTGGCAGCATGCAATTTTTTAAGGCTTCCTTAGCTCTGAATTGTGTATATTCCCCTGTGAAATGTGTATCAGAATAGTACTACCCCCATGAGACTCTTTTGGTAATACTGCCAAAATATAAGGACAAAGCCGTTGCTGTCTGTGTGGTGATGAGACACTGACATCTGGGTGATATACGGATATGTTGCTGGGTTTTGTGTGACCCCTTGGTCATTGAGTAGCTGACCAGAAAGGCCTTTATGAGACTGTTTTCATATAATATTTACCCACTTCTAGCCCTGGGGCTAAGTCAATTCCTTGGTCAACTTCTTGTTATGCTTTTACTTTACACCTATCAAGTCTTTGAAAGTAATCAGTTTCCAGATGCCTTTGTCATCAAAATTAAAGATATTTAGGAATGTTCTAAGTTGATCATTCCTGCCATTAAGATAAAACTTCTTTGTAGTCCTTCTAACTTCATGGTTATAATAAGAGTTCAGAGAAGTAATAAGAAATTATAAAAATAACTTAACTCTTTTTTTTCCCCTAAAAGACTGGAACTGGGAGAAACAAAAAGAACAACCCAAAGAATACCAGCGGATCCTACAGTGCTTCTTAGATAGAAAAGACTGTTGCTACTCTATCCATCAAATGGGTAAGGTCACATCAGTGGTTTAAAAACAATGCCTGTACTTGCTCTTCTTGTCCTCTACCTTGTATGTGGCTCCACTAAGTTGTCCACCTGTTTATTTATGCAGAAAGTTGGGATTTTGTGGCATGCTGGAAGACCTTTTGCTAACATGTTTATTTTTTTCCACATAAAAACAGCGCAAATGGGTGTAGGAGAAGGAAAGTCAATTGGCGAATGGTTTGGACCAAATACAGTTGCACAGGTGTTAAAGTAAGTAAGAGTCTGGCATTCACTTTATTATACTATCTCTTATGCCTTCCTCCTCCACCAATTCAATGTGCCATTAACCTAACTATTCTTGCCATTCCACTAAGTAAGCCATCCCACTAAACCAGCAAACATCTGTACCATTTTTCTCAGACAATTTTTTGAAATGTGTAACTGGGCATAGCTGTCTTGGTATATCAGAGGTATAGTCATTGGTACCAGTATATGTAGAGGTACCTCAGGACTCATTTGGTATCCCCACAGATTGGTGCTCACGTGCCATCAGCATGAGGGTCACTTTGAAGCCAAAGTATTCATACTAAGTGGGGGAGACTGAGCCAGCCTAGGCAAGACATGGACTCCCACCCTGTATAGTATTATAAAAAGCCCACTTATCATTTATTTATTCATTCAAAATTTACTGGGTGTCTTTACTGTGCTAAGTGCATGGTATACAGAAATGAACTAGACACACTCCTTGCCTCAAGGAACTCATGACTTATTGGAGGAGGCAAACCCAAGGGAGTCTTGGAATCTGTCTGTGATCTCTTAGCAGACTTCACATGCCCAGCTTAGTAATTTTGCACTTGTTCTGTTAAATTCCAAAATTCACCTCCCATAGTAAGAGGCAAGGTGGAGAAGCCTGGACCAATGTTTAGGAAGTGAATGAAGTGAGTGGCATCAGGACCTACACCTGCAGGTCACCTTGCCTGTTATCACTCTCCTTCCTGACAACATATCACCAAATGAAAACTCCATGAGGGCAAAGCTTGTATTTGTTTTTGCTCACTGCTGGAACACTAGCACATAAAACTGCCTGGCACACTTAAGTGCTCAATACATTTTTGATAAATGAATGAAAATGGTAGCCAGAATCTGGGTTTGGATTTAGCATCAGAAGACTGAAATCATTGGGCCTTCTTAGATGTAGCCTGTTTCAATTCTGGGCTCTCTGGAGCATGATGGAGGTACCTGATCCATGCAAAGTACAGATGGGGTACTGATTCAATTATTAGTCAGTCTTCAGTGAACTAGAACACATTGTAAATGTGCTTGTGATGGGAGTAATCTGGATTTCCTGGGGACCCAAGTAAAACCTATATCTTGGTTTTACTTTTCGCTAACAGTGTAGTATGTCTGAGACTACTTTCTTACCTTAGTCTGTAGTGCCTTTTGGAGCATCATTGACTCTGCAGAGTGAGGTTTTGGCAGTATTTCGGGAGCCACTGTAGGAACCCAGAGTAGAAAGTGTAGAAGATTAGAATGGCTATGCTGAGTCGAAAACCCAGCTTGAAATGGTTGGTTTTTAAGTGATATCCTTCAGAATTTGCTTCTTTATTCTCAAGTATAGGCATGGTGCACGAATTCGTGCATGGGTGGGGTCCCTCGGCCTGGTCAGAGATCAGGGCTGATTAGAGTCATCTCGCCCAGCCTGGGGGAGGGACTGCGGGAGGTTGGCCGGCCAGGGGTAAGGACCATGGGAGGTTGACTGTGGGAGCTCACTGACCACCAAGGAGCAGCTCCTGCGTTGAGTGTCTGCTCCCTGGTGGTCAGTGTGCATCATAGCAACCGGTTGTTCAGTCGACTGGTTGCTTAGGCTTTTATATATATAGATTTTGAAGTTCCCAACAACAAATGGAAACATAAATTTTTAGAAATATTGAACTAGGTTCAGATACATGATTGTTATCATTAACAGCAGTGTATAGTATCATTATTATTATTTTTAAAAAATTCTTTATTGTTTAAAATATTATATACCAATAGAGTATTACATGTTTCCTTTTTCCTCCATTGACCACTCCCGGGCCACCCCCATCCCCCAGCACATGCCCTCACCTCCTCCTAGTGTCTGTGTCTATTGGTTATGCTTGTATGCATGCATTCCAGTTTTTTGGTTGATCTCTTACCCCCCTCCCCTGCATTCCCTCTGAAGTTTGACGGTCTGTTTGATGCTTCTCTGTCCATGGATCTGTTGTTGTTTTTCAGTTTGTGTTTTTCATTATATTCCACAAATGAGTGAGATGTGATATTTATCTCTCTCTGACTGCCTTATTTTGCTTAGCATAATGGTCTTCATGTCCATCCATGCTGTTGCGAATGGTAAGAGTTCTTTCTTTTTTATAACAGTGTAGTATTTCATTGTGTAGATGTACTGCCGTTTTTTTATCCACTCATCTGCTGATGGGCACTTAGGCTGTTTCCAGATCTTATCTATTGTAAATTGTGCTGCTATGAACATAGGGGTGCATTTGTCTTTTTTGATTGGTGTTTCTGGTTTCTTGTGATGTATTCCTAGAAGTAGGATTACTGGGTCAAATAGGAGCTCCATTTATAATTTTTTGAGGAAACGCCATACTGTTTTCCACAGTGGCTGCACCATTCTGCATTCCAACCAGCAGTGCAAAGGGGTTCCTTTTTTCTGTACATCCATGCCAGCGCTTGTTGTTTGTTGATGCTAGCCATTCTGACAGGCGTTAGATAGTATCTCATTGTTGTTTTGATTTGCATCTCTCGAATGCTTAGTGACATTGAGCATATTGTCATCTGTCTCTTGGCCTTATATATGTCCACTTTCAAAAAGTGTCTATTTAAGTCCTTTGCCCATTTTTTGATTGGATTGTTTATCTTCTTTTTGGTAGGATGTATGAGTTTCCTATAAATTTTGGATATTAGACCGTTATTGGATATAACATTGGCAAATATGTTCTCCCATGCAGTGGGCTTTCTTGTTGTTTTGTTGATAGTTTCTTTTGCTGTGCAGAAGCTTTTTATTTTGATGTAGTCCCATTTGTTTATTTTCTCCTTAATTTCCATTGCCCTAGGAGCTACTAATATATCGATAAAGATATTGCTACAACATATGTCTGTTATTTTGCTGCCTTGGATTCTTCTAAAATTTTTATGGTTTCCCATCTTACGTTTAAGTCCTTTATCCATTTTGAGTTTATTTTTGTGTATGGTGTAAGTTGGTGGTCTAGTTTCATTTTTTTTTCATGTATCTGTCCAATTTTCCCAACACCATTTATTGAAGAGACTATCTTGACTCTATTGTATGTTCTTGCCTCTTTGTCAAATATTAATTGAGCATAATGGCTTGGGTCAAATTCTGGGTTCTCTGTTCTGTTCCAATGGTCTGTATGCCTGTTCTTGTGCCAGTACCAGGTAGTTTTAAGAACAGTGGCTTTGTAATATAGCTTGATATCTGGTATTGTGATCCCTCCAACTTTGTTCTTCTTTCTCAAGATTTCTGGGGCTATTTGGGGTAATTTTCTATTCCAGATGAATTTTTAGAGTGTTTGTTCTAGGTCTGTTAAATATGCTGTTGATATTTTAATGGGAATTGCATTAAATCTATAGATTGCTTTGGGTAGTATGGACATTTTAATGACATTGATTCTACCAATCCATGAACATGGTATATTCTTCCATTTGTTTATGTCTTCATCTATCTCTTTTTTCAATGTCCTATTGTTTTCTGATTGCAGGTATTTTACCTCTTTAGTTAAGTTTATTTCTAGGTATCTTAATTTTTTTTTGGTGCAATGGTAAGTGGGATTTTTTGTTTGTTTGTATCTCTTTCTGTGAGTTCATTATTGGTGTATAGAAAAGCCATAAATTTCTGGGTATTAATTTTGTATCCTGCTATGTTGCTGAATTTATTCATTAAATATACTTGTTTTTTGATGGAGTCTTTAGGGTTTTCTATGTACAATATCATGTCATCTGTGAATAATGACAGTTTTACTTCTTCTTTTCCCATTTGGATACCTTTTATTTTTTCTTCTTGTCTGATGGCTATGGCTAGCACTTTCAGGACTGTGTCGAACAGAAGTGGTGAAAGTGGGCATCCTTATCGTGTTCCTGTTCTTAGGGGAAATTGTTTTAGATTTTGCCCATTGGGTATGACATTGACTGTAGGTTTGTCATATAAGGCTTTTATTATGTTGAGGTATGATCCCTCTATCCCCACTTTGCTGAGAGTTTTTATTAAGAAAGGGTATTGGATTTTGTCAAATGCTTTTTCTGCATCAGTTGGTATGATTATGTGATTTTTGTCTCTCAATTTGTTTATGTGATGTATTACATTTATTGATTTGGGGATATTGTACCATCCTTGCATCCTCGGAATAAATCCCACCTGGTCATGGTGTATGATCTTTCTAATGTAATGCTGGATCTGATTTGCTAGAATTTTGTTGAGGATTTTAGCGTCTATGTTCATCAGGGATATTGTCCTGTAATTCTCCTTTTTCGTGGTGTCTTCATCTGGTTTTGGGATTAGGGTAATGCTGACTTCATAGAAAGAGCTTGGAAGTGTACCTTCCTCTTGAATTTTTTGGAATAGTCTGGAATTTTTTGGAATAGGTTTTAGTTCTTCTTTGAATGTTTGGTAGAACTCCCCTGTGAAGCCTTCTGGCCCAGGGCTTTTGTTTGCTGGAAGTTGTTTGATCACTGCTTCAATTTCCTCCATAGGTATCAGTGTATTCAGATTATTTTATTCTTCCTGATTTTTTCAAGGTCGTATTTTTGTAGAAATATGTCCATTTATTCTCGGCTGACAGGAATAGAGTTCATATTATTTTTTTTACAATCCTTTGTATTTCTGTGGGGTCTGTTGTTATTTCATCTCTTTCATTTCTGATTTTGTTTATTTTGTTCCTTTCTCTTTCCTTCATGAGGAACCTGGGTAGAGTTTCATCAATCTTGTTTATCTTTTCAAAGAACCAGCTCCTGGTTTCATTGATCGTTTGTAATTTTTTTTTTTGTCTCTATGTCATTTATTTCCACTCTGATTTTTATTGTGTCCTTCCTTCTGCTCACTCTGGCCTTTTCTTGTTGCTTTCTTTCTAATTCCTTAAGTTTTAGAGTTAGATAATTTATTAAATTATTACCAGTTTTTCTTTTTCTTTTTTCTTTTTTTTTTTTTTTTGAGGTAGGCCTATAATGCTATGAACATCCCTCTCAGGACTGCTTTCACTGTGTCCCATAGATTTCAGATTGTTGTGTTTTCATTGTCCTTTGTTTCCAGGATGTTTTTTATTTCTTCTTTGATCACGTTGGTAACGCAATCATCCTATATAATGAAAGGCTAACATGCAAATCAACTGAATGGCGGAATGACCGGTTGCTGTGATGTGCACTGACCACCAGGGGGCAGACACTCAATGCAAGAGCTGTCCCCCAGTGGTCAGTGCGCTCCTATAGGTGGAGTGCTGCTCAGCCAGAAGCCGGGCTCACGGCTAGTGAGCACAGTGGCGGTGGCAGGTGCCTCTCCCACCTCAGCAGCAGCACTAAGGATGTCTGACTGACATCTCCTAGATTGTGAGAGGGCGCAGGCCGGGCTGAGGGACTGCCCCCCACCCCCAAGTGCACGGATTTTGTGCACTAGGCCTCTAGTTTAATAACATGCTATTTAGCTTCCAAGTGTTTGAAATTTTTTTGTTTTTATTGTAGTTGATTTCTAATATGCATTGTGATCTGAGAAGATGCTTGATATGATTTCAATCTTTTTGAATTTGAAGAGAGTTTGCCTGTGTCCAAGTATGTGGTCTATCTTTGAAAATGTCTCATGTGCATTGTGAAGAATGTATATTCTGTACCTTCGAGGTGAAATATTCTGAAGGTGTCAATTAAGTCCTGATCTAGTGAGTCATTTACAATTGCTGTTTCTATGCTGATTTTTTGCCTAGATGATTTATCCAGTGATGTCAATGGGGTATTAAAATCCCCTACTATGATTGTATTGCTGCCGATCTCTCCCTTGATATCTTTCAGAAATTTTATTTTATTTTATTTTTGTATTTGGGTAGTCCTGCATTGGGTGCATATGTGTTTACCGGAGTTATATCCTCTTGTTGTAGTCAACCCCTTTAGTATTATGAATTGGCCTTCCTTATCTCTTGTTAACTTAGAGGTCTATTTTGTCAGATATAAGTATTGCTACCCCAGCTTTTTTTTTTTCATTTCCATTTGCGTGAATAATATTTTTCCACGTCTTCACTTTCAGTCTGTGTGAGTCCCTTGTTCTGAGGTGGGTCTCTTGTAGACAGCATATATATGGGTCATATTTTCTTATCCATTCAGCCACTCAATGTCTTTTGATTGGAGCATTTATTCTATTTCTGTTTAAGGTTATTATTGATAGGTACTTGTTTGTAGCCATTTTTATTATTTATGCCTGTGTTTCTTCTTCCCTTTCTATTTCTTGTTATTACAACAGTCCCTTTAGCACTTCTTGCATTTCTGGCTTGGTAGTGATAAACCCCCTTATCCTTTTTTTGTTTTGTTTGCGAAGCTCTTGATTTCCCCTTCAATTTTGAATGATAGCCTTGCTGCATAGAGTATTCTTAGATTAAGTCCCTTGCTTTGCATTACTTTATATACTTCATTGCATTCTCTCTGGCCTGATGTGTTTCTGTTGAGAAATCATTTGATAATATAGTGAGAGATACCTTGTAGGTAACTCTCTGTCTCTATCTTGCAGCCTTTAAGATTCTCTCTTTGTCATTAACATTTGCCATTGTAATTATGACATTTCTCAGTGTGGGTCTTTTTGGGTTCATCTTGTTTTGGACTCTCTGTGACTCTTCTTTCTCAAATCAGGGAAGTTTTCTGTCATTTCTTCAGATAGGTTTTGTAAGCCTTGCTCCTCTTCTTGTACTTCTGACACCCCCATTATATGGATGTTACTTCTTTACATGTTTCTCAAAGCTCCCTTACGCTCTCATTCTAGGCTTTGTAATATTTTTCTCCAATTGCTGTTCAGATTGTGTGTGTTTTTTTTTCTGCCCTGCCTTCTAACTTACTAATTCAGTCCTCCACTTCTAGTCTACTGTTGAAACCTTACATTGTGTTTTTTATTTTAGCTATAGCATTTTTATTTCCTCTTGATTCTTACATAAGCTGTTGATTTTCTCATCTGTTCCAGTTTATGAACTGTATAACATTTACTCTAAATTCTTTTTCTGAAATACTGCATGTCTCCATTTCATTTAGTTCCTTTTCTCGCGATTCAGCCTTTTCTTTCCTTGGGGGGTTGTTTCTTTGTCTTCCCATTTTTGCTGTCTCTTTCTGGCCCTGGGTACCCTGCTTGGAGTTTGAGAGGTTGAAGACCCTATCAGGGCAATGGTCCTGAAATCGTTAGCTCAGAGGCTGGGTCTGCCTTGAGTCTCATACCTTTATTGTGTAGTCTCTGAGTTGTATCCCCTTCTCCCTCAGATCTGGACCCTCAGTTGTCTGCTTCAGATGCTTGGGATGGTGGGAGCACGTGCACAGTTTCTCTGGTGTGTGATTCCCAGTGAGGACCCAGAGCCCTCTGACATGCAATTCACTGTGCGGCCCTGGAACTCATGGCAGGGTGGCACCGTAGGTCCCTCTGGCAGCGCTCTTGCAGCATGGTCCTCTGGCACCTGGCTGGGCACACCAGCTTGCTCTGGGTCACCCCAGCAGCGCTGTTCTGTAGTCTGGAGTGAGGCGTGTGCTGAGTTCTTCCAGGTATCCCCTACAGGACTGTCCCAGGGGCCGGGAGAAAGTGGGTGTGGGTTGCTCTGGGTCCCACAGTCAGAGCTCCCCTGTGGACCTAAGTGAGGCATGCACTGGGTTGCTGTGGGTCGCCCCTCCTAAGCTGAGGTGAAGCAGGCATGCATTGCTCTGGGTCACCTCATCAGGGCTGTCCAAGGGGCTGGGATAATGCCAGCAGTGGTTGCTCTTGGTCACACAGGTTACTCTGGGTTACACAGTCCCCACTCTCTTGTGGTCTGGAGTGGGGCACGCTCTGGGTTGGTCTGGGTTGCACCAGCAGCAGGTCCTGGGGCTTGGGGTTGAGCAGGTGCTGGGTACCTCTGGGTCAGGCTAACAAGCATGGATTTTGTGTCTGGGGCATGAGTGGGGCGCAGGGATCCCCCTGGCTTGCACTTACTGTGAAGTCTTGGAGCTGGATCTTAGGATGCTGGGACCCTGCAGGCTGGTGAGGAGGCCTGGTGCGTGAGCTCACTCTGGCAGTGTGCTGTCCCTGAGGACCTCTGGCAGCCTTCTAGTAGGTATTGCACCACTCACTGCCAGGGCACAGTGGTGGTTCCACACAGATTATGGCTGGCAGGTGGCATTCTCTAGGCATCTCTGTCCTTCCTTTTTGAAAATTGTCTCCTCAGCTGTGTCTAATTTGTTAATTCAGGGTGGATGTTCTCTGATTTAGTTCTTTTTCCAGCCTGGCCCTACAGCGGTTCTCAACCTGTGGGTCGCGAACAATGAAAATATATCCTGCATATCATATATTTACATTACGATTCATAACAGTAGCAAAATTACAGTTATGAAGTAGCAACGAAAATAATTTTATGGTTGAGGGTCACCACAACATGAAGAACTGTATTAAAGGGTCATGACATTAGGAAGATTGAGAACCACTGCAAGGAGGAGGTGGACAACACTGCTGCCTATTCGGCCACCATTTTCTATTCTCCTCATCATTATTTTTGAGAAAGATAATATGTTAGAACGAGTAAAATAAAAGTATAATAGTAATTAACCTCTTTCTGATAGCTACCATGGTTTGGGAGAGAATGTTTTTTCTTTTGTCGAGTGAGACTGGACTTTACCCAGGAATCTGAGTAGCCAGGTTAAACTTTTCTTTCAAACTGGCAGGAAGAGAAGATAAAGGAGAAATAATCATGGTACTTTGCTCAGACTTCAGATATGCTCTCAAAGGGGTTTTCTTCCTAATCTCTTGGGTCATGCAACTCAACATGTTCTCTTTCTTCAGCTAAGCACCCAAAGCCAAAGCCATTTGCAGCACAAATGTTCTTAAACAGCATTCTCACAGCACATGGGGATGGATATGAGCAACCTGTTTCTCTCTCTGTCTCTCTTTCTCTCTGTCTCTCTGGATTTTCCTGGGTTGTATTCTCTGTATTATCTATCCTCCCAAAGAATATATAATATATTATGTTTCAGCTCAAACCAAACTGATATATATGACAGTTTCCATTTACCGAATAAAGCAATAAATTAGAATGTCTTTTATTTAAGGAAAGGAAACAAAACAAAACTTATTGGGAGCAGATGCATTAGTAACTCTTCTCTTTCACCCAAGAGGAGTAACATCATCTTGTGAGGTAGACTTTTCCATTTTGTAAAGTAGGACCTCCTTTTCAAGGTTCAGAAACTGTGACTTTGTGGCATACTCAGGGTCCCTAAACATGGAATGTTCCAGTGCTCACTTGAAGGAGCTAGAGCTAACCTGAACCCCAACCTCTCTGAGGCTCAGTGTTCAGTGACTTCAGGAACACTGGGCATGGATTGTATTGTTTCCTGCTGATATTTTCATCTTCCACAATTGTGACTTCCTTGTATGTTGCTTTGCAGAAAACTTGCTTTATTTGACGAATGGAATTCCTTGGCTGTTTATGTTTCAATGGATAACACAGTGGTCATTGAAGATATCAGTGAGTCCACAGTCTGTTTACCTTTCTGGGTTGTGGGTGTGAGGTCCTTCCTCACCATTCAGAAATCAGGAGTGAGAGATAGATATATATAGATAGATATACAGGCAGAGAGAGGCATAGACAGAGGCAGATAGACAGACAGACAGACATGCCTGGATCTTAGGATGCTGGGTCCCTGCAGACTGGTACACACACACACACACACACACACACACACACACACACACACACGCGTACACTGGCTCTGACCTGCCCCATCAGGGCAATGGAGCTTAGGGGATCACAGAACCCTGGTTAATCATCCCCTGCATCCCTTTTTTCTCTTTCCTTTCAGTTTTATGAAAGGAAGAAAACAACAGGAGGATTTTTCTGTTCCTCGGTGCGTTACCAGACCTTTTCCTTGCAGGACACCCAAGTGTGGATAATCAGTTAAACCACCAACATGTCTTCTGTGGAGACTGTCCCCTAGTCTAGCCCTGTGCTCCCCACCGTGGGGTTAGAGAAACCAAAAGACACGGTCCCTCTCCCAAAGACCCTTGCAGACTAGTTGAGAAATGAGATTCTCTCAATGAGCCGATGATATCTGACAGGAGGTAAGGGAGTGCTCAATTGCAAGAAGGAAGAGAAGTAAGGGCTGGAAGAGTGGCCTGGGCTTCCTGTGGGAAGTGGGACGAGCTGGGTTCTGGTGGCAGATAGAGACAAAGGCCTTCTAGGCAGGGGGTATCATGTGAGGTCTCCCTTAGTTTTGACTTTGGCATATCTGTCAGGGCTGGATACCTAATTTACCAGCTTTCTTGTCTCCTGTTTCTAGAAAAAATGTGCCGTGTCCTTCCCTTGAGAACTGATACAGATGGTGAGAGTCCCCCTGATTCTCTGAATGCTTCGAACCACAGTAAGGCCACCTCTGCCTGCTGCCCAGCCTGGAAATCCCTGCTGCTCATTGTGCCCCTCCGCCTGGGCATAAACCAAATCAATCCTGTCTATATTGATGCATTCAAAGTAAGTCACTGCTTTTTCCGAGCCCATTGTTGCCTGCCCATCACATCGCCATGTGAGCACAGAGATCCGTGAGCAGCAGTCCACAAGTGAATTGAGAATCTTACATTCTCTTTCCCTCTAGGAGTGTTTTAAGATGCCACAGTCTTTAGGGGCATTAGGAGGAAAACCAAATAACGCCTATTATTTCATAGGATTCTTAGGTAAGAAAAGAGGAATCACAAGTAAGTCATTATGGGCTAAGGGAGGGCGGGCAGAAAGTTTGCATGGGAGACCAGGCAATTCCAATTAATGGGCCTAGTCCAGCCTGGAGATGCTGTGGTCTCTGGTCAGCTCCTTCTGTCTCTGGCCTGATCTGTGGAGAGTAATACTTCTGTGTGCCTGACATAGAGCAGATCCCCCTTGAATGTCTCCACTTCCTTAACTCTTTATAAGATGATTTCACACTGCTTTCCTACAGGACCACCTCAAGGTCACAGCATTGCTTCAGCTCATCTCTCTTTTTCCTGTGGGGCCCAGGGTGGTAGAGTGTCACTCTTTTGGCCTTGTTGATCTCTGTCTTACTGGGGCTCAGGCATTTAGTCCAGGGGCCATCCTCTTCCTTCCCAGCTCCATGCAGCTGGGCCTGCAGGCTCATTGTTCAGAGCCATGACTCAGTGGGAATTAGAAGAGGCAAAGACAGATATCCCTTTTCTGATAAAACCACTAATCTAATATGGACCCTAACAAGTAGCCTGACATTCCCTGCCTAGTTTGACACCTCTGGAAACCCAACCACCTTATTCACTAGCTGTGACCAGAGACACTTAAGGCCCTTGGCACACAAGGTGAGCTAGTCCAGTGCTTCTCAAATTTTAATATGCACAAGAATCACCTTGAGAGTTTTTTAAAATACATGTTTGGTAGGTCTTGGGTAGTCCCTGAGATTCTGAATTTCTAGCTAGGTAGTGCTGGTGCTGCTGGTACACACACTATGCTTTGAGTACCAAGGACCTAGACACCTGGTTAGTGCTGAAGAGCACCAGGAAGGGAATGATGTTGTTAGGGATATTTGGTACAGGACACCTCTCACAAGAATGGAGTGGTCAGATACTGGACCTTGAAGAAGATTGCAAGGGACAGCCTTATATTATCAAGGGAGAACCAGAGCAGGTATGGGGGATGGTATGAGGGATATACAGAGGACAGGGTGAGGCATCTGACAGGAGGTAAGGGAGTGCTCCTTATCTCCTCCACCATCTCCTTGGAGATTCAGGGAGGTAATGTGGAGTGAAAACAAACATACTTGGTGGTGTATGCTAGTCTCCCTGTTGCTAGCTGTGTGACCACCAGAAGAGAACAACTCTCAATCTCAGGTTCCTCTTAATGGAAAATGGGGCTAACACCTCACTCACCATGTTGTCACATCAGAGTAGAGCATTCAGTAAAGAGTTAGGCATGTAGCATATACTCAATAAAAGGTGGCTCTACCCTGCCTGACCTCAACATCTCTTTCCTTTTTCTCTCTTTAAGCCTGGTGTTTCTATACAGTTGCCTCAGCTCTCTCTAATGCTGCCATCTATTGGCCAAGTCTAAGAACTACAGCTTGATGGAAAATTGGGGGGCTAATATTTTTCTAAGTACAAAAACGTAGTTATATAAATTTCAATATCTTCTGTTTCTAAGTTTTTGGGTTACTGTCAAATAAATGTTGCAAAAATCTATTTCTTATTATTTGTGTTTGAGGACAATGTTGACACAGATTGGAAAATAATTTTGGAAGGATTTCAGTGAATAGGGTATGCCACTCCTGGGCTTCCTGGCCTCCCTTATCCCAACTTCTCCAGAAAGAATTTGCCAAGATCAAGAAGCTCTTCTGAAAAAAAAAAAAAAAAAAAAAAAGAAGAAGAAGCTCTTCTGTTTCCTGAGGCCACTGGGGTGATTTTGTGTAGTTTGACTACTCATGAAAGAGGTGTGGACAATCCTCAGTGCCAAAGATAGAGGTTTACATAGTGCCCACTAACTCTCAAAAATCTTTTTGTTCAACCTTCACTCCACAGTCCCCTCAACTTCCCTTTTCTGACTTACCTCCTAGTGTATTAGGTTGGGGGGTTCATATTGGTAGAATGTCTGAAGGGAGGGATTGGATGAGAACTGCCATTTTCTAAACAGCTATTTTATGCCAGAGACTGCAAAGTGTCCTCTCTCTCTCTCTCTTTCTTTCTCTCTCTCTCTCTCTCTCTCTCTCTCTCTCTCTCTCTCATCTCTATCTCTATCTCTTTCAGTAGATAGATATGGATATAGATATAGATATAGACATAGACATAGACATAGACATAGACATAGACATAGACGTAGATATGGATAGTTATATATAGAGGTATAAAAATAGGTAGGTAATTATATATAGACCAGAGGCCCTGTGCATGAAATTCATGCACTGGGGAGGTATCCCTCAGCCCAGCCTGCACCCTCTCCAATCTGGGACCCCTTCGGGGGATGTCCGACTGCTGGTTTAGGCCCTGTGGGATTGGGCCTAAACCAGCAGTCGGACAGTCCTCTCACATTCCGGGACTGCTGGCTCCTAACCACTTGCCTGCCTGCCTGCCTGATTGCCCCTAACCACTTCTGCCTGCCAGCCTGATCACCCCCTAACCGCTCCCCTGCCAGCCTGATTGACGCCTAACTGCTCCCCTGCCAGCCTGATCACCTCCAACTGCCCTCCCCTGCAGGCCTGGTTGCCCCCAACTGCCCTCCCCTGCTGGCCTGGTCACCCACAACTGCCCTCCCCTGCCAGCCATCTTGTGGTGGCCATCTTGTGGTGGCCATCTTGTGATGATGTGGGGGCGGCCATCTTGTGACAACATAGTTATAGTTAGCATAACACCCCGGTAAGATAAAGATTTTTATTTCCATTTATACCTGAAGAAACTAATAGAGGGGATGTGTTCTTAAGAACACCCAACAAGAAAGTAGTGAAGCTGGGATTTGATCCCAGTTTGTTCATCCTTGTCTACCATACCACATTGCTTCCCTGATGCTCTCTTTCCTGAAGGGAAGCTGGGAGAAGCTCTTGCTGTGAGAAACTCTGGCCAAGGTGAGACTCTGACTGTCAGATTTGTCCTGTATAGAGGGGAGATATTTGTCTCCTGTGCTTTAGTAGGGGTTGCCACCTGGAGATCTATAGTGTGAACCCTGTGTTTGCAGTTGGTTGAATAGCCTGCCTCTTCTGTTCAGGCCTTGTTAGAGACTTTAGTTTAGTTCCCACATCATTTCTAGGACTTTTTAGATTTTCTTTTCTTTATTTATTTTTTAATCCTCACCTGAAGAAATTTTTCCATTAATTTTTAGAGAGAGTAAAAGAGAAAATATCCATGTGAGAAAAACACATTGATTGGTTGCCTCTTGCAGTGCCCTAATCAGGGCCATGGCCGGGGAGGAGCCTGCAGCTGAGATATGTGCCCTGGACTGGAATGGAACCCAAGACCCTTGGGTCTGCAGGCCAATGCTCTTTCCACTGAGCAAAACTGGCTAGGGCTAGATTTTCTCTCTCTCTCTCCCTCTCTCTCTCTTAAAAATAGTCTTTAATTTTTTTTTAATTTCAGAGAGGAAAGGAGATGGAGAGAGAGATAGAGACATCAATGATGAGAGAGAATCATTGATCAGCTGCTTCCTGCACACCCCCCCCCAACTGGGGATTGAGCCTGCAACCCGGGCATGTGCCCTTGACTGGAATTAAACCCAGGACCCTTCAATCCGCAGGCTGACACTCTATCCACTGAGCCAAACCAGCTAGGGCTACTATATCTCTTTTAAGTACTCTTGGAAACAGGGTACACAGGCAGAGAGGATGCTGCTATTATTCCCAGCACCTTAATTAGAAACATTCTGGAAGAATGATGCTTAATTATAACCCTGCTTTGGATTCGTATTTTCTTGTGCACAACTTCCTTCTCCTCTTGCCTCTTAGGCTTCCCTCTAAACATCCTGGTTATTGCTCTTCATTGTAACTTGAAGCCTTTTTGATATAACTGATGTCACCCACCTGTGGTCTGGGGGAATATGTACCTTGACTTTCATAAAATAAATCGTATGGAAGCACTGAGTTTCATATACTCTCCAACATTTATTTGTAGAGAAATACTTTTGGATCTAAGCAAGATACTTCTATGACTTACTTGTATTTGTATTGTGTTTTAGGCATTTTACAGAGGTGAATTCTTCTTGTTCTTATAATACCCTATGAGGTAACTGGAACAGGTCCAATGACACCAGTTTAAAAACAGAAAAATTAAGACAATGATTTAATAGGCTTGTCCTAGGTCTGTGATAGAGACAAGTTGAGTTTTCATCAGACATAAACATATTCTTTTCCAACAGAAGCACTTATATGTGCCCAATACACTCCTGGATGCCATTCCAGGAAAGGTCTTTAGGGCATCCCTTCCCAGCCCATCCTCCTGCTACAGGTAGGTATTTCTTTGGTTGTCTAACTCAGTCTAAAACACAGAAGCCTAGATGGCCCTCAGGCCTGGATAATGAGGTTAGGGTGTTCCCTTAGACACTTTTGCCTACTCAGTATGCCGCTGGTGAGCATTAGGGAAACTCTCAGCCCTTTGAAAAGTAGAGATTTTATTATCCTAAACCCCTCCCAGGTAATTATTGGGCTAGACTTTTTCAATTTAATGAAGCATGGTTTTTCTTTTATTTGTAAACATTGATAATCTCAAAGTGAGTTTTTCGAGCAAGGTATATCTGTAAAGAAGTTAATGTGAACAAGGCAGTGCTTTCCAACAGGGATTACTAACTTGCTAACAAGGACTAACTTGCTAGCTAATCAATACCAGAAGTCAGCTTCCTGGTATCTCATCCATAGCAAAGCCAGCATTCCCATTTCTTTTGGAGGCCAAGGCCTTTCTCCTTACCAGATGTGCTCTCTGACTGTATCTCTGAGAACCAATGTTCTGGAACTAGATGCTTTCCAATGTTGAAAGAGGCAGGAAACCCCCATTGGCACCTGAACTCATGGCCTGGTGATACTACCTACCACCTCTTTGCTACTGCTGCTCACAGAGCTTGCCACGTCATCTGTAATCTCTCATCCCCACCTTTTCCCAAACCTGCTGCTTTCCATTTTTGGAGTTGGACTTTGAGGAGATGTGAATGCTAGGGCAAGTCTTCTCATTGAATGTTTAGATTTGAGTGTGGGTGGCTTCCTTAGGTATGCTCACCTTAACTCGGGCTTTCTATCATCTCATTTTCATTGTCACCAAGGGAGGGGTTAGGGAAACCATAGCGCCTCTTCCCAAGGACAACAGTGGAGCCAGGGCAGGTGGTTTTTTGAAGGTTAAACATGCCTCATTCCAACAGGTGATGAGCTCATTTTCCTGGACCCTCACACAACCCAGACCTTTGTTGACACTGAAGAGGATGGAACCGTTGATGATCAGACTTTCCATTGTCTGCAGTCGCCACAACGAATGAATATTCTGAACTTGGATCCTTCCGTGGCATTGGTGGGTGTCTGAAGGTTGGGTGGCCCGTGAGATACACTGACGCCCTATTACAGATTTGTTCCCTGGGTATTTTCCAAGTATATAGGTAGGGTGGCCAGATTATATTAACTTACCACCCCCATGAGAGGTAGTGTAGAATAGTGGGGAATGAGTGGACCCTGAAACCAAATTGCTCAAGTTGGAATTCAGGCCCTGCCACTTACTAGTAATGGACTTAGGGGGAGTCCCTTTACCTTTCTGAGTCCTTTGTAGGGTTGTGTGAGGTATGCTGTACATTGTGAATATTCTATAAATGTTAGTTATTATTAGCGTTATCATCTTTCACACTTTTCCTTCTCACCCTCTAATTATTGCCACACAGGCCAAGGGAATAATGTAGGGTATCAGTAGGGAGGGAGAAGGGGGCAAGATCCACTGGTTAGGCAGTGCCAGTTCTCTGGGTACACAATCCAGGAAGTTTCAGCCCCTCCTGCCCCGAAGTAGTATGGCTGCTGTCTACACACATTGAAGGTGCAGCTGCTGTGAAGTAGCCAGTAGTTCTGAGGCCTGTCTGCATCCTTCCTTCTAATTCAAGGCACCAGTATCCAAAGAACCCTTTTTCCTTAGACCATTCTTTTACTACTAGATGATAGCTCTGAGGATGGAGAACAAGGCTGATGGTTCTTTTTATTCTAATAATTTCCTTAAAGTAAAACCACCGTATTAAATATTGCCTCTAGATAAAAGTACTATTTGGATTTTGTTTACTGGTTTAATTGACTCTTCTTTATAGATGTGTATATTTTTACACTAAATGTAATGGAATTAACCCCACACTGGAGATTGGGCTTTAAGTTACTATATCTCACAATATGAGGGGAGAGTATATCTCACAGTATGAGGGGAGAGGGATATGGAGGAAAAGGGACAAGGAGAAAATGAAAGGGTCAGAATAAGAGAGAGAAGCATAGATACAGGAGAAACAGAGGGAGAGGGAGATGGAGAGACTGAAGGAGAGAGAGAAACAGAAAGAGGGATGGGAGAGAGAGAATGAGGGGGAAGGAAGAATGAATGAGCAAATGCTTGTGTCCAACTGAGGCAATGTCTAGGAGGCAATGTCTAGAACATTTCCCAATGTTCCTCCTAATTGTTGGGAAATCACATCCAAGGAGAGTGGCCCACATCCCACATAGTGGCTCCATCTTGTAGTACAGGGAGGGCCTTCCTTGGTGCCCCTGACCAGTTCTAAGTTACGTTCTTTTGCTTTCCCCCAAGGGATTTTTCTGCAAAGAAGAAAAAGACTTTGATAACTGGTGTAGCCTTGTTCAAAAGGTAAAGATATATGTGTTTCTTAATCTTAAAAACAAAAGTTATTCAGCGTGATACATTTTCAAGACTTTTTCATAGTAACATAAACCTAGCCTGATATGACTCTACTGCAAGAGAAAGAAGCTAAGATGTGGTAAATTGCATATAACTTTGGGGAACCAAAGAAAATCTTTTGTTAGAAATATGCTTAGTAAGTCAAGTAAGCGATATTTTTAGCTTCTTAAAGTTTTATCTCATTAAGCCTACAAGTCATGAAATATTTAACTAATATTCTACCATTTAACCTAAAATGCCAATTTCATATAGCTCAGCCTAAGTTTTTTTAATCTGTTTAGAACACAGATGATTGAAGAAACTGATTTACTTTGCTATTTATTTAGGTTAATGTACTGTATTCCATTTACAGTTTAATGTACTGTATTATTATGGTTTAGGGGACTTGCCTTTCTATTCACTGTCTTATTTATATAAAATATAGGCATGCTGCTACTTAAAGGAAAGACAATTTGGAGAAATCTGTGTAAATACTAAAGCAAGCTATCATTTTTTTATATTTTGTGTAAAAGAGTAGTTATTGTTTTGCTGGATCACCAATCTTTGTATGTGTCTCCCTCATTCTGAGCTTCTAACACATGCCAAATATGTGAAAGACATTGATAAACGCTTATTGAAAAAAATGAAGGGAGATCATAGGGCAGTGATGGTGAACCTATGACACGCGTGTCAGAGGTGACATGCGAACTCATTTTTTTGGTTGATTTTTCTTTCTTAAATGGCATTTAAGTATATAAAATAAATATCAAGAATATAAGTCTTTGTTTTACTATGGTTGCAAATATCAAAACATTTCTATATGTGACACGGCACCAGAGTCAAGTTAGGGTTTTTCAAAATGCTGACACGATGAGCTCAAAAGGTTCACTATCACTGTCATAGGGAGTAGTTTAAAGGGCCCTGGATGGGATAGCAGGAGACACAATGTTCTCCTATTTGCAAAACAAAGAGATTGGAGCCCAGAGCCTCTTGTAGGTGTAAGGGGGGAAGATTTTTCTTCACAAGTAAACAATTAATACAAATGTCCCTAGCTCAATCTAAAACCCCAGTTAATAGTTAGTTGAAACATAATGGATACTTATTGTCTAAAAACAATACTTATATTTCAGGATGCAGCAAAACTATATTTATATCAAATTTAAAATTAGAAGAAAAATTTTCTGATAAGACTGTGCCATTTAAATTAGGACATACACTGTAAGTGTTGGACTATATGGAAACCATGCCAATATGTACCAGTATTTCTCTTGGGGCAGATTTTATTTGATTAACCAACATTTCTTTGGAGCCAACACTTCAGGAACATCTCGCCCCTAAATTGAGTTGAGTCCATGCAACTGGCATATGACCTGAACCTCATGATGGAGTTTGGGCAGTGAGTACTGACCTTCTATCAGATACTCCCTCCATTGGCCTTCCCTCCTGGCCAACAGTTTTAGAATTGAAGAGGGCTGGGTCTTTAGATGGGTCAAATAGAGGATGGGAATATTTGCTAGTTCTTTGCTTTCACCTGTCAACAATCAGGCTACTCTCTTGGGACTTGGGGTCATAGACTGCCAATTGGACAGAAATATAGTGACTGCAGTGTTTATAACTGCTTCTATGTCTCCTCAGGAAATTCTAAAGGAAAACTTAAGGATGTTTGAATTAGTTCAGAAACATCCATCGCACTGGCCTCCCTTTGTACCTCCAGCCAAACCAGAGGTAACAACCACTGGGGCAGGTAAGTGGTTGTTCAGGGGCCCTTCAGCCAGCATACCCACGTGTAGCAATTGGTTTATGAGATAAAAGCAATCATCTGAACCAATCAAGGAATAGTGCTTCTGATTATTTAAATCCTCTGATGAACTGATACTGATGTCAAAGAATGATAATAGCAGAAAATGAGCTTAGTGCAAAAGTTCCATATAAAATCAAAATGACTAGACATTTTTTTTCATAGTCTGGTTCAGAATAACAAATCATAGGCCATGGGTGAGTCAAAAGGTGCCTCCAAGTTCTTACAGAACTTCCTCATCACGTGACTAGGACTATGTAATAAGTCTGGTTATTTTGATTCTTTAGAGAGAATTTCTAATAGTTGGCAGTGGTCCTATCTGTAAGTCTCCTCCACAAAAGCTTTTCTTTAGAAAAACAATTTAAAAATGCATAGTCTTATCTACTGAGTAATGTATTGACTGTTTTAACTAAAGCATCAAGCTTTTCTTCTTTCTCATTTTTGTATTCTCACAGAATTCATTGACTCTACTGAACAACTAGAGGAGTTTGACTTGGAGGAAGATTTCGAGATTCTGAGTGTATAAAATAGTAGGAACTCAACCTTAAGATTTGTCTTCCATCTGGCACCAGAAGAACATGAACTCATTACATAAAACTTTTGTAGTCAGCAAGTGCCTGTTATGCCAACAGCATACAAACTTGATAGCAATCAATCATGACTGAGCCAATCACCGCTTCTCAGAAAAAACGTTTAACAATCCTCTCCCAGAAAGAACTAAAACAATCATGGGATCTAGGAGCAGAAAGATTAGGAGCCATTCTTTGCTTCTCAGCTTGTCTTACTTGGCCATAGTGACTCTGCCACTACTGAAATGAGGAGGTGGACTTCTGGAAGATAGACAGTAACTCCCACCTTGCTTCAAGCACCAGCAGATGAGAAATGGTTACCCGTGCTTCCGCACCCTTTTAGGTGTGACCTCTTTTGGGCTAAATACTAAGAAGCAGTCTGTTCTTTTGCTCTAATAATAAAGTGATTACACCAGGGAGAAAAAGCTCTTGTTAAATTATTTGAATATGTATTTTAATTAATTATAATTAATATCAAAAAGTTTGTCTAAGAAATTATGTCAGATGTGGACTTATTGATCTCCTGACTCTTTGGGGGAACATTACTAGTTAATGGGTCACTGTTCCCTTCTTTACTGATACTTTTGTCAGATATCACCCTGTCCTTAAATGAAATCATGATCACTTAGGTCAAGGGTCAGCAAACTTTTTCTGTAAAGGCCAGATAGTAAATGTTCCAGGCTTTGTAGGCCATGTCAACTCTGTCTCAGCTACTTACTAGTAACCGTGCTGTTGGAAGTACAAAAGTAGCCATAGACAATCTGAGCCTGGCTGTAAACCAATAAAACTATATTTAGAAAAATAGGTGGATGGCAAATTTAACCTACAGTCTGTAGTTTGCCAATCACTGACTTAAAATGTTGATTTTTGTTTGGGAAATTAAAAATCGTGTTTGAATTAGACTCCATTTTGTTTGACAGCCTTATTAGAAAGAATTATTCATATGGTCACCTTTAATCTGTGTATCATATACAATTCCAAACCTTTTAAGGACTAGCAACATACTAAATTTTAAAGCACATTTTCCTATTGTCTTTGCCACCAACTCTCCTTTGTGGTTGCACCTCAAGTCCCAGCGGTGTCTTCCCCATTTCTTCTTGCCCTCTTAACCTGTATGCATTTCACATGCATCTCAACCAAGTTGTGAGGAAGGCCAGCAACTGGGGTTTGAAAGCTAGCATCAAGCCAAGGTGTGTTTCTTGTATATTTAGAAATATTATAACACTTGTTTCCTTAGATTCCAATTTTTCCTCTTTTTCTTTCCCCAGTAGGTAATATATTTCAGTGGTTCAAAATTCAAAATATTCAAAATGGTATTCAGTGAAATGTCTCTTCTTCCCAAGTATTAGTTCCGTTCCCTGATGCTCCTGTTGTTATTAATTTTTATCTTTCCAATGGATATATTTTATACTATACAAACATATGCATATATATCTTAGATTTGATTTTAACAACTTTAGCATTTCTCTACTGTTGATTTATTTGAAAATGATCCTGAGGTGCCAGAAGTATGTGAACTCCTTTCTTGAACTCTAGCATGGGACTAAAAGCAGTTATAGGCTTATTTGAAACAGGTTTTGGGTTTTTTGCCTGTTAGAGGACTCTTTCTGTTCTTTGACTTTAATTGTATTTTTTTCCTGTCTCAATGTTTTGTTATAAAGCTCAATTTGTAGTAACAGGAGCCCCCATGGCTCCAATGGAGACTCATTAATTGTAGTGATATGGATTTAGAAAAGTTTTCATCAAAGAACATCGAGAGTCAATTGTTCATGCTAAATTCCTTTTATTTGCGATGTACAGAGCTGACAACCATGTTTTTTACTCAGAGAGGAGGTGAAGATAACAATAATTCAGATTATACCGATTATGTTTTATTTAAGTTGGCACAGTTTACATAATATTTAAGGAAACAGAGTCATCTGGAAGGAATTGCCTCATGTCAACATATCTAAGTGTTCTGGGAAACTGATAAAACGGTTAAAACAAATCCCCCAAACAGAACACAATACACTTTATAGTTGACTCAGGCTTGCTTTAGGTCTGCTAACTGCTAAAGAGAGGAGTGTGTTAGATTTTTATGAGGTTTTAAAAATATTAAAATAGCTTAACAGGCTACCTGTAAAAGAGTAATTGGAAGGGCATTTTAATGGAAAGTCTTTTACAGTCTCAAAATGCAAAGGAATCAATAAACTGCAGCTTCAGTTTGCCACATTACACACATCTGGATAGCATTTGGATGAAACCGGGACTTCTGAGAAATTGGGACAAGGGATTTACCTTTTTGCTCCTGGAGTCAAAAGTAAAATTCACACCTCCTTACCCACCCACACTTCTACCCATGGCCTGGGAGAAAGGGCTGTGGTTCTCATTTCCCTTTATGGGCCTGGCCACATTTGGTGCATCCTCCACTCTACTCTGGACCCGGCCAAGTAATACTGGTAGGTCTCTGCCTAGAGAGGGAGTTGACAAAAAGGATGTGATTTGTCTAGGACCATATGAAGTTGATGAGCCCTTCTTGGCTTCTGGCCTTCAAACCTCCCTAAGCAATATGGGGTCCAGTCGTGCTTACTCTCGAAGTAGTCTTAGGCCTAGACTACTGGCTGGCACCTCATTCCATTTCTGCTGCCTGCCTAGACACAGTGGGTTTTCTTGAAGGGTGAAGGCTTGCTCTATGCAGGCCTGAGTCATCCATGAATACTTAGCCAGGTATATATTTTTTTTCATGTGGAAACACTTGGTTGTGGTTTAAGCCAAATAATGTGTGGTGACCTCTGGACATAAAGAAATGACTTATCAGTTATTATAGAACCACTTTGTGATCAAAATGGTGAGGAAAGCTAGCAGCTTTCTAAGAAACTGGAAGCCCAGTAGGTCTTTCTGAGGTCACACAAATATCCAAATCAAACAGTAGTGCCAGGTTGAAATGGGACAGCAGATCTCAGCAGGGTGGGCTCACCCATTAGGCCTGAGGGTTGGGGTGACCAGTATCCAGTAGTCCAGCCCAAATGAGACTCCAATGTACAACTTTTCAGATAGGAAAATGGGCTTAGGCCTTTCTTCTTCAGATGGTTTGAGTTTGTGAGGTGACTGTTCTGTGGAGGAAGGGACAGCAAGGGGCAGAATGGCAGGAGCCACCCTACAGGCTTTTCATACACACCTGGCAGCGGCTGACTCGTGTGTGGAGCTGCCCAGCTTTCAATGTTTCTGGTACAGGTTCCTCCCCAAACTGCTGCTTCTCCTCCACTGTTGTCAGCCAGAAACTGTACTTGTTGGCAAAGTAGTGGCAGGTACCCCGGGCACCACTGCACTCAATGAAAGGAGTGGCTCGAAAATCCTCTAAGCAGGAGCCAGGTGAGACCAGGGACTGGCCTCCACCCTCGGCGCCAGCGGCAGTGTGCTGAAACAGACAGGGGTGAAGTGTGAGCTGGGCCCATGGGAGATGATAGACACTCTGCTGCTCCAGGAGGAACATGTGCTTCCTTCTTAAACTCAGGCCCCTTGGCTCATCCCTAATGTCTAGCCAGCAGACCAAAGGCTGTATTTCTGGACTTAGGCTGCTCGTCCTCCTTTGTAGTAGCCTCAGGGCCAGTAGATCCTTCCAAGATTCCTGGTGCCCACCCAACCCACTGCTCATGGGCTGTGACCACATCTCAGCCAGTTTCCCAAACTGCTGCTGCCCCACAGAGTTCTGAGGTGTGCTCAGTGTGTCCCCCCTCCCCCAATTCCATGAGCAAATAAGTGTTAGGCTGAATTAAGAAAAAAATCAATAGGTTTTGGAATGCAGTTCTTCTCAGAGCCAGTCTACTTCAAGCCCCAGGTGGTGTACACCAAGAAAGAAGAAAGCATGCAATACTCCACAAAGTGGTTAAACCATTGGTCCCTCCCCCAACATATCTATTAATAGCTCTGAATTTACCTTCATTAGAACTTATATTTTCAATCTGTACCACAACCTTTAGAGCGAGATATTGTGTTTGTTACCTGCTATGTACATGTAGGCCTCAGATTTAGCCTAATATTCTGGCCCTCACTTCAGGAAGCTCCTGCAGCACCCAGTTCCAGGATTTCCTCATCAGTGTCACTCATGAGGCAATATTCTTTGGTCACAATATCTATAGACAAAAGACCCTCTCTCCGTCACTTTAGCTGGGTTATTATCTGGACCACATGAGGTGGGGAGGCCTCATACACACCCAGGTCAGGAAATGGCCAATGGGACAGATGCCCAGGTTGGACACACAGTTGCACTTTACTTTGCAGAACTTTGGGGAAGTGTGTCTCCATAAAAATGACCTTTCCTAATAAATGAAGTATCAAAGTGTTCCTCATTTTGATCATCAGGTAAGGCTTTCTAGCATGAATGACACATTACCCTGCCTTACTGAACAGAAGACACTGTATTTTACACTTTACAGATGACCCAGGCTTGTTGCTATGAATGTTGGTTTTTGCTTTGGAGGATAATGCAGGGACCCTGTACCAAGAGACGCAAATTGTAGACTTTTTGGGTGGCCTTTGAATTGTTTTCTCCCTCTTTTCTCCCTTTTAGTAGGCATGTCTCATTGCTTCCAGATGCCTTAATAGGCAGTCCAAATTCCCATCCTTACATGTTTTCAGAAAAATATAATATTCTAGTATGTTAGAATTATGTTTACAGTAAGAGTAAAGAGATTCTGAATAAGGGCTTAAGAGCACCCCCATGAGCAAAGCACATGATACTTCATACATAACTTTTCTACCATTCCTTGTGGAAGCTCAGTGGACAGGACTAAGATTGATAGGTAAGTAATTCTGTATTACACTGGGACAAACTGCCCAATTCACAAAGACTGCAGTTTGGTAATTCTTTGAAGATACTCTCTCACCACATCACCCCTGGTGATTTAGCAAAGAAGCTCTGGTGAAGCAGGTACTTCAGGGGGTTCACACTGATTTACTCTGGGAGTTTTCCTGTCCCTAAACCTGACCTATAACTCATTTAATGTGCCAACTTATTCATGGAATGTCATGTGAAGGACTTGATGTTGTCTTGGACTTACAGATGTTCTCAGCTCTTTCTTACCAAGATCCAGCGTGGCTGGCCATTGCCTTCCCATCAAAATGGCAAGGCAGCAGAAATCCCAGCAAGGACATGGGAATACAACATGGCCTCATCTGAGCTTTTTTGGAGGAGGTGGCTAGAGGGAGTGTGGGCACAAGAATGGGAGTGGCATGCCTAGACTGACCAGTGAGAATGTGTCCCAGCCCTAAGTAGGGACAGCCTATCCCTCACTGTCCATCCAAATTGTGTGGTTCCTCCCCCTTCCCTTGCTTATGGCATAAATGAAGCAGGCATAAAGATGTCAGGGCTTGTGCTGGTGATTCATAGGCATTCGCACCCTGAACCACGGGGTGCAAACTGTTCCTTTATGCTCACACC